CTACCTGTCTCTGAAGATCCCATTTCGACATTCGAGATCCTTATTTTGGGTCACAGCAGAGGCCCATGCAGTTCCCTTAACCCGCGCCGGGCCGGTGCTCTGAGATTCCGCGCCGGGCCGCGGGGGGATGTCTGAACACCCCCCTTCTAACTCGGCTCCTGGGCCACATAGCGACACGCGGTAAGCGGCAATCGAAAGAACGTCCAAAATAAGGACGAAAACACTTCGGTCATTTTTTAGGTCAGGTCAAAGGTCAGGTCACCAGAGGTCACCAAAGGTAAAATGTTGACTATTTCAACATTTTGGAAACTGCCAATGGCTATCTCGGGAACCGATAGAGCTACAGCGCCGCAGAAAAGCGCATTCGATAGCCCTTTTACAGACCTTTCTGAAACATATTCTCAGATTTCACCTCAGGTCAACGGTTTAGCCTCCAGAGGGCAAAAACTCCAAAAATATCCGTTTTTACGAAAAACGTTTTTTCGGCAATAACTTTTGACTCATAAGCGCCATGACATTACCTTTGCCAGCATCGTGTTCCTCTCGTCGAGACGCGTCGAATGAATTATAATTTGACCTTGAAAGGTCAACTTAAGAATTTGACCTCAGGTCAAGGTCATTACCTGACCGGAAAAGGTCATGTTGCATATCATTCGATCCGCAACGTCGAGCCGAACACATCTAAGGCGTTTTCAGCGCTCTAGCACGCCTCTATCAAGAGTTATTAGCGAAAAACTGTTAGATTCTGTTCGTGACCTGAGATGACCTCGGGGACATAACGAGGTGTCACAGTTGCCATTTTCCGGTTCAGTGTGTCAATTTTACCTACATCTCGATGTTTGAGAGTGTCTAGAATAGTGTTCGTGCAAAACAGACGCTTTTCAATTTTCTCCCATTGACTTATAATGGTGAGGCCGCAAAATTGACATGACCTTAGGTCACCGATATCAAAATTCCGAGATAAACATTTTATAGATAGTGTTGCCCTTATCAATCGCTGAAAGTTTCAAGGCAATCGTTCAGTCGGTGTAGCTATGACTAGCATTCTTATTTTTTCTGAGGTGAGGTCACTTGGCGTGACCTGGTGACCTGACCTAAGGTGACCTGGGTTTGAAATTTTCACAACATGTGCAGAAAAGATGTACAAACAGGAGTGCCAAAAACGGCGGCGATCCGCGCCGTCGTTTTGAGATATCTGCGAAAAACCGCAAGGGGGTGTTCAAACACCCCCCAGCCCGGCGCGGGTTAAGGCCCAATGCCGACGGTCATTAGCCGCTTCTGATGGCCCCACGTCCTCTTTTGAAGGCACCTCAGGGGTCACCAGAGGCCTGCCAGGGGCACCACCGGCTTCGCAGGGGCACCATGGGCCTGTCCGGGGCACCACAGTCTTGTCAGGGCCCAGGGGCCCCAGCGGCCTAGCAGGGGCACCACAGGCCCGCAAGGGGCATCACAGACCTGCCATGGGGACACCACAGGCCCCGCCAGGGGCACCACAGGCCTGCCAGGGCCCAGGGGCACTAAAAATAAGATAAAAATATAAAAGAAAACAAAAGGGAAATAGAGAATCACCAAAATTAAGTGGCCGAAATCCGTAGAGTTTTTATTTTGGGTATAGGTAGGGGCACCACGAATTTAATTCATGACCATCCCCTTGGACTTTTCCTGGATCATCCTCTCGCACGGTTGAGACAAAAACGAGTAAGATTCTGGCTTTCAATACGCCTTTTCACGCAACACGATCCAGCAAAAACAAAGGATTAGCTCAAAAGTGTTTGACAGGTGATTTTGAGAATGCAAGACGGCGTCTATTGCTTTTAGGTCTTCGGCTTTGGGGGGGGGGGGGGGTGGTCAAATGAACCTCTCAGACCTTTTGGAGGGGGTCATGACCCCGTGGACCCCCCCCCCCTCCCCAGGATCCGCCACTGATTGAACGGGAGGGCGCCGATTAACAGGAAGGCGCCAATGGATAGGAGGGCGGCGATCAACACGAGGGCGCCAATAGGTAGAAGGGCTCCGATCATCATTCAACAGGAGGGACTAGGGAACCAATAGACAGGAGAGGAGGGCGCCAACGGCTAGGAGGGCGGCAAATCAACAAGAGGGTACCAAAAGGGAGGAGGGCGGCCATCAAAATTTCACATCAGGGCGCAATAGGCAGGAGGGCGCCAATAATTAAGAGGGCGCCGACCAGCAGAAGGGCGGCAATGTGTAGCAGGATGGCGACCTACAGGAGGGCGCCTTCGGGTGAGAGGGCGCCCATTGATAGGAAAGCGCCAGTAGGTAGGATTACGCTGATCAAATGAGGGCGACAGTGGACAGGAGGGCAGCGATCAACAGGCTTACACAGGCGACTACCGCTACGCTTAGAGAGCTACAGCCTACAAATGCGGTTGAAGGGCGCCCGAGGGAGCACTCCAACCGTATTTGGAGGGCATATTTGGAATGGAGCCCTCCGACCGTATTTTCCCTGTAAACACATTCGCGATTGGAGGGCGCTTTTGGCGCCCTAAATTTTGAGCATGGAGGGCGCTTTTGGCGCCCTAAAGCGCCCTCCAGTCGCGACTGTTTTCGATTCGATTCTACCAAAATTGCATTTGCGATTGGAGGGCGCCCCCGCCCAAGGGGGCCTGGCCCAGTGCCCCCCCCCCCCTGCCTACGCCCCTGGTCTGCCCATGTGACTTGGTTATAGCTTGTCCTAATGGAAGCTTCTTTGCATGTTGATCAAGACAGCCCATATTCAGCCCAGATTCAGCCCGGATTCAGCCCAGATTCGGGACACCTCCGATCAAGCTGAAACTCGCACACAATGTAAGCCATGACATGCCCAATCCACAGTCTAAGTCATTTGGCGGCACTCCCAGCCGTTTGACCTACAGAGGTCAGCAAAGGTCACGTGGCCCAAATTTGCACAGCAGATTGTGGCCCACCCAGTAGAGCTAGAGCGCTAAAAATGGCACCAATCGACTCGCCAGCATCTAATCTTACTTTCCCAATACTGATTTGACCTCTCAACGTCATGTGATGACCTAAGGTCATTTGTGGGCTATGTCGAAAATACACTTGCACAACAGTTTTCGAGTAGAGGGATTGACCGAATTCCAAATCAAAGCACATAATCGGGTAGCCCATAGGCCGTAGTAACTTTCCTTAAAAACCGCTTCTCGATATGTGACCCCGTTTGACCTCGGCAGGTCAAAATGTACAAATAAACGACGCTCCATAGGTACGTCGCAGCCCGGATTCAGCTCAGATTCGGGACACCTCCGATCAAGCTGAAACTCGCACACGATGTAATTCGGTCAATCCCTCTACTCGAAAACTGCTGTGCAAGTGTATTTTCGACATAGCCCACAATTGACCTTAGGTCATTGCATGACCTTGAGAGGTCAAATGAGTGTTGGGAAAGTAAGATTATAGATGCTGGCGAGTCGATTGGTGCCATTTTAGCGCTCTAGCTCTACTGGGTGGGCCACAATCTGCTGTGCAAATTTGGGCCACGTGACCTTTGCTGACCTCTGTAGGTCAAACGGCTGTGAGTGCAGCAGAATGACTCGGACTGTGGATTGGGCATGTCATGGCCTACATTGTGTGCGAGTTTCAGCTTGATCGGAGGTGTACCGAATCTGGGCTGAATCCGGGCTGCGACGTATGGAGTGTCGTTTATTTGTACATTTTGACCTGCCGAGGTCAAACGGGGTCACATATCGAGAAGCGGTTTTTAAGAAAAGTTACTACGGGCTATGGGCCTAGGACCCATAGCCCAAAGGACCGATGATGTGCTTTGATTTGGAATTCGGTCAATCCCTCTACTCGAAAACTGCTGTGCAAATGTATTTTCGACATAGCCCACAAATGACCTTAGGTCATCGCATGACCTTGAGAAGTCAAATGAGTGTTGGGCGGTAAGATTAGATGCTGACGAGTCGATTGGTGCCATTTTTAGCACTCTAGCTCTACTGGGTGGGCCACAATCTGCTGTGCAAATTTGGGCCACGTGACCTTTGCTGACCTCTGTAGGTCAAACGGCTGGGAGTGCCGCCGAATGACTTGGACTGTGGATTGGGCATGTCATGGCCTACATTGTGTGCGAGTTTCAGCTTGATCGGAGGTGTCCCGAATCTGGGCTGAATATGGGCACGGTGACTATAAATATGGGCTGTCTTGACGGACATGCTTCTTTGCTAACATTTACTGTTCAATTTCTGGCCATTATTTCTGGTCTGAAGCTAGTTTCGTTTTGTGAGTCATAACTCATACATAGCCCGTGAATTTAAACAACTCAGTCATTTTTCACCAGCTCACTGCTCAGCAAGAAATGTCTCAAAGAAAGCTGAAACTTTCAGCGGATGCTGCCAGATAGCGCGGCATTCAGCGAGCATAACGATGAGGGAGGATCGCATCAGCTGCCTCTTCCGCACCGGGACCGCTTAGGGGAAACGCCCATAGGCCATCGCAGTGAACCCGGAGAAGTCGGAGTCGCAGTCGGAGGTAGTCAAAATCCCGGAGTCAAGAGTAGGATGCGGAGTCGGAGCAATGATACCACGACTCCGAAACCCTGGACCAAAGGTCAAATGTGGCGTCAGTGTACTGAGATCTTTGGACTTTCATGGTGTCAACTGTCAGTAAAGGTGTAAAGGACCGATTTTTCAGTCATGTTATGACGTTTACGAAAGCTAGTCAAGTTATCGTGCATTCAACGCGTCTTGACAAGATGAGCTCCTATTGATGAATGATGTACGAAATGGGCGTTGCATCATTATAAGTACCGTTCAATTAGATTCAACCTTTCCACCAGGTGGCCGAACCGGAGGACAACGGGACATATAATTTGCAGGCATCGCCGGTGGTTGGCGCTACCCATGAATAAGCCCCTGAAGGGTTGCATCATACCTCTGGCAACTATCCAGCTGACGTGTCGATTCGGGAATCCCAACGCTCCACGATCACGCACACTCAACTACGGAGTCTTGTTTCCCCTGACGCTCACAGCGTCTAGCATCAGTGGTAATGAATGCTATCGCTTTATTATAGCACGGAAAAGTCAGCGATTCTGCGGGATGAACAGTGCTCACTGCGGTGAATGGCCGACCCAGGACATGACCCACATAGCATTTCCACCCATTCCCCTCGATAAGGACACGGACATAGCGGAATGTCTCGTCATCACAAAACGAATGCTGCATTCGAACGACAAAACCCTAACGGTAGGGAACGCCGCGCTCTGTGGGGAGCATACTGAGCTGCGGCTGCGCCGCCCTGCACTGGCTGCAGCTAGACCCAACCTACACGCATTGTTACGCTTCAAGCATAGCATTGACAGCGAGTTAGCGTTCCGCGGGGAATGTCACTCCACGTAGTCTGGATCGGGATATTGCCCATTGCACGCTGAGGCGATCAGACGGACACGATAGCACCACCCAGCATCGCACCTCACTTCCACAGGCCGCCACCGACCGCACCACACTGGACCGGATCGTTCAACGAGCATTTCACCAATGACGTGGCAGTGCCATGAGCTGCCACCGTTCATCAGATGTTGCCGTACTCGAGACTGGAGCTGCTGGAGGACAGCCGCTCGGCCACCGAGGAGAGGGCGCCGAACTCCCTCCGCGAGCCGTCCTCCTCGTCTGCCGAGCCGTCGTAGCCGTTGTCCCAGCTGGGCGAGCGCACCGCCTGCTTCAGCTCCTGGATGGCGTCGTTGAGCGACCAGAGCTGGTGCAGCAGCGACAGGTCCATCTGGCGCAGCTCGGACATCTGCTGGCGCAGCCGCTGCAGCTGCTGCTCCAGCTGCGCTGAGCGCCGGCCCGAGCCGGAGCCGGAGCCGGAGCCGGGCAGCGGAGCCGCCGGAGCCGCCCGCCGGCCGGTGCTGCCACCTGTCGGGCAGAGACGAGTACTGTGACCGACCGTTCCTGGGGCGCCACCAAAGGTACGTACGGCAGAAGAGGTAGGTACTCGCGAGATATTAGCGAAACATCATGGTCGTAAACGCGCGGTCTGCCACAGAACGGTTTGACCACCTTGCATTCAGTAATGACAGAAGAGGATATGAAATCGCCATTCAGCTATATGGTCTTAGTTGGGCATCAAACATCCAAGCATAGTCTTATAATGGCGATCCAGCATACTTTCTTGTGTTTCGCGTAAAACCCTAAATCGGAAACACAACAAAAGATACAGACCGGGCTGCCCTGACGGCTGCCCCGGCCCACAGAGGGCGGCCGGGCGCGTACCTGCGTCCGGCCGGTGGCAGGCCGGCGCCGGCGGCGCGGGCTGGGGTCGCGCCGGCGGCACGTTACTGTAGGTGGGCTCGTCCTCGGCGTGGCCGGGCAACGGCGGCGGGCCGGCCAGCAGGGCGCTCAGCGAGGGCGGCAGCGGCGGCAGCTCGTTCAGCGACGACATGGCCTCCTCCGGCTGCCGGACGGTCACACGTCACACTGCTGTCCCTCTCCGGCCCATGTGATAACAGCAATGTAAGAATTTGTCATAAGGTCATGGCTGAGCAAGAAACAGCATTAGTCATAGAGTATTATGCATTTTGAGGTATCCCTGGGCTATAAAAGAATATTAGTTTAGGGAGGCATGGCAATAACTCATAATCACAGTGCTAACAGGTAACACTTACTGAAAAAAAGTTTTAAAACTAGGGTTAAGCAAAACAAATATGTTTTTTATGCACTTACTTGATAGCTGATGAATGAGCAGTCTACTCCTTGAACTTCCAGTCCTGCCTACACATAGGGCAGTGCTGGTGCACCTGCTGTGACTCTAGCCACTTGATGATGCAGTGCATATGAAAGCAGTGTGAACACTGACCCCAAACTGGAAACAAAATCAAGCCTGGTCACTGGTTCATTCATCCATGCATAGGTAGAACACTGGCCGTTTGAGCTTCAACTGCAGAATCAACAGTAGAATTTAGGCACACAAATTCGTACCTAAATGCCTACCTATTTAATCCATTCAGGCTGCATAAAACATAAACGCAATGAACTGGAACGATCGAAGGAGACATACCTAGTGGACAGTCGTCTCCTGGTATTTTGCAGTTTGAGCAGGTTGCTTCAAAGGGCATACGACAGATTCCACAGCTATCGTCGTTGGCGATCCACTTCCATGTGGCAACGCCGTGCCATGCTGCCAAGTAAGAATTGGAATGGCTCAGTCATATTGAGTTGATCTAGGGCTAGCACAGAAGTATCACCAACCATTATTACGGAGCGAGCGAAGCGAGCGGAGTCTTTCCTTAGATTAATGGAAATTTCTGAGTATGAGCGGCCGGCCGTGCGGACACTTTTGCGAGGCTTATATCTCAGTCCATAGGTGGGCATCGTTCCCCAAAATTGTAACTTCGTTACTCGTTCTTCCGTTCCTTCACGACGGGACTTCCGTTACTCGTTCCTCCGTTCATCTGCAAATAATGTAACGGAAGTTCTTTAGTCCGTTACTCCGTTACAACAAAAGAAAAAAAAAACGTTAAAATGTTGTGTACAGTGTATTTCACACATTTCTAAGACCATTCAGACACAAACTAAACCTTACTCGAAAACGGAATGTCCACCAAATCTACCAAGACAGCGATCACTGACTGGACACTAAACCTCGGAACCACCGGGTGGTTCTGATGCGCATCACTTGTCCCCGGCCAGATGCCCGTTGCCCTTCACGAACACTATGTAGACGTTCCAGGTTGGCATCTGAGAGGGTAGTCCTTTTTGCACTTAGCACGTCTTTTCCCATCGAGAACATGCGCTCGGCGCTTGAAGGGACGGACGCCCTGCTGAAATTTGCGAACACAACATGCTGCAACGCCAGCTCCTTCCGGAAGGCCAGGTCACTGAGGCCATCTTCCTTCTTCAAGACATCTTCGAGCCAAAATTTTATTATAGCCTTGGCCACAGACTTCTCTATATACAGAAGAAGTTTGTGGAAGTCTTTATATATAGAGAAGTCTGTGCCTTGGCACTTGACCTGCTTGAACTGTGACTGGTCTCAGGTTTAGGTACTAAACCTAACACCCACACACATGGAAGTCTGTGGGTTAGTTGAAAGATCAACCCGCTCGGAAAACGAAAAGTAACGGAATAACGGAGGAACGAAGGAACGGGCTAAACTGTAACGGAGGAACGAGCAACTAATGTAACGGAAGTTACTTGGTCCGTTACCCTTTTTAAAATGTAACGAGTCCGTTCCTCCGTTCCTAAAAATTGTAACGGCGTTCCGGAACGGAGGAACGGAGGAACGGATCGTGCCCACCTATGTCAGTAACCACTCGACCGATTTACATGCGGTAGTTTTTGTAGGGTAGCTTCATTCCTTCTACCAAGTATTGGACTATTCCCGATGCATGTAGGTGACCCCTTATGCGCGTGCCACGTGCAAAACGAAGAGGTGTCAGTTTTGTAATTGTTGCAATCTCTCGGTAACTACTTGGCCGATTGCACTGAAAGTTGGCATGTAGGTAGGCACCCACTAGGCAATGCATATCCATGTGCCAGAGTTGGGGTGCTGCTGCATGTGTGCACGTGCAGGGGTCGTTTCCAGATCTCGAGAACGGCTCAACCAATTGCTCTCAAATTTGGTACACAGTTAGGGACCGGTTAGTAGGGTGCCGTGCAAAAGTCAGTCGGGACCCATTTTGCACTTGCGCATGTGCAGGGTGCTGCTTCCAGATCTCGAGAACGGCTGGGCCTATTGCGCTCAAATTCGGCACATCGCTAGAGACTGGTTAGTAGGGTGCAGTGCACAAGTCAGTTGGAGGTACCCCCTCGCAATTTCGCACGTGCAAGGCCCACCCTCTCGCTCGCTCCATTAGTCGCCCCAAAAGGCGTTATAATGGTCATAAAAAGGTAGGTACATCAACATGCCTGCATTTGTAGATAGGTAAGTACATACTCAATGAAGAGAGAATACCTATTACTATGCAATTGCGTAGGTAGGCAATACAATGATTTATTGTGATAAGTCCAAATTTAAGACAAGGCAAACATCACAATAAAACGAATACTGAAACTAGATGCATGCTTACCTTTCACAGTTACTTTCATAAGATTTTTTTGTTATTTAATAAATTAATTGATCATTGCAACCACGGTATATAGAGAACTGCAACCAATGCGACGACCATTTCATGCAGGTACCTATATATAACCAAGTATACGTAACAGCGGTGCATGCGTAAAAAGTGGTGGGCACACCAAAATGCCAGATGTGACACTAGCGAGAATCTAAACAACAAATACTAGTGACATATCGGAAAGTCACTAGCTTTTCAACTAGGTCACTAGAAATACTCGGAAAAACATGGAGTCCGGAGAAATGTGGAAAGAGCAATGCCATGCATGGAAATTCAGTTTACACGATATGTGGACTTAAAGTTTTAACTAAGCGCATAAATTTTAATGCATCACTAATTGCGGTTTTATTTTATGGAATGTCCAATTCAAAAGAATTGGTATGAATGAATGCAAGAATGCCGGTCCCCGTGGCTGGCGCCTGGCAGAACTCATTCTCAAAATTCTGCCAGACCTTGAAACACGCTTCTGAAATACGCTTCTGTGGTTACATATTTTCCTAACTACATGAACATGAGTGTAAAACATAAATGTCATGTCATGATAAAGAAATTAAAGACAAAAGATGAGCGCAAATACAACAACATACAAATACAAATGAACTTGTAGTCAGCGCGCCCCTTTCCCTCAACAAACAAAAAACAAACAAGTGAATGGTTTATTGTTATTCTCATTTGTGTAACGGTTTACATAGCCTTGTCTGTAGCGTTTACGTATAAGTCGCCATCTTGCATTGAGAATTATCAAAAGACTTAAAAAGTCTTTAGCATTCCATCTGGCATTCTATATTCATGGGCCTTGGCTAGCTTCTTTGGCTATGTTCTAAGACCTGTCAGAATGAGTAAAAGAACTACGTCATTGTTAGTAGACCAATCAGGGTCGTGGTAATGCAAGCGCTGATTTGTCAGCTTTCGTCATTTTGTCGATGCTGTTCGCGAACATACTTATTGAATACAACTGTCGGAGTCACTTCACAATCGTATCATCTTTTTGCATGGGACATGCGAAACGTTTTACTGTCCACAACGGCGAAGGGTTAATTCCAGTTAGGGGAGAGATGTCATATTGCGCCACCTTAAGGATATCGGCCTATTGCGGCTAAAGATGACCAGCTGTCATGCTTGATGATATCTCAAATTGTACCTCAGTTATTTTGGCATCAAATAACAACTCCTAATTTGTATCACACCCAGAAAAATTAACAAGAGAAAAGTTTTCCGACACACCTGCAAAGGGCGCATTTACGGACTACCCCATCGAAAACGGGCTTCGGTAAAAACTGGATTGCGTCAGCTGGCTGGCCAGCTGGCAGCATACGATAGGTATTTAAATCTAGATACAAGCGAGGTAGTAGGATAGACATAGATATTTCAACTGGCTTAAAATGAAAAATTGATAGGAAAATATGAAATCTTTTGCATCTAGCATTGATATGTAAGAAGCTCTGCTAGCGCCACCATACGGCGCCAGCTGGCAAATAATCCAGTTAATACCAGAGCCCTCAAAAAGCGCCCATGCCTCTCATGTAAAAGCGCCCTATTAAAACAACGGTTTGCCACCTAACTAAGTAGCCTATTTGAAAGTGTCAGCCCATTAGCCATTCATGCTGTGAAGGCTAAGGTAATGGTAAGGTGAGCGCTCTAATAATCAAAGTGTTCAATGAAATGTGTCCCAACCACCAGATGCTGTTTCTCTGGGTTGAAGAATAGGGCGCAAATAGGGTGGGCACAATTACGAATGGAACACATTTTTCATGAGCTTCAAATATGGCGACGACAGCGAAGCCACGGTGGTGATAAACTTTCAAAACTACCATTAAACGAGCAATTAACAATGATTATTAGTTGAATCACTATCTCTAAGATAAACCATGACACTAGCAAAGGTCGAAATAGACTGTTTCGCGTAAGAAAATAGAGGAAATCACAAAAAATGGTCTGCGAGAAAGCTGAGACACCTCACCTGCCCCCGTGGACCGGAATAAGAGCGAGTTATTGGTGGTGAAGTAAATGCACACATTCGAGTATTCGTTCGAATCGAATTTGGGGCAGGAGGAAGGTGTGGCGCATTTAAGAACATGGCGCAATATGACCTCTCTCCCCTACATAGTAGCATTTTCTTGCAATAGGCCTGTGAAAGAAGTCTTGATTGATCTGAGTCTTTCTTTGTTGTTGTCTCTTGACTGATTTTTCGTCATTCTTACGTGAGTATTATTTCTTAGCCGCGCAAAGCATTTACTTTGTATTTTTATTATGCTTGGCCTTACCAATTTTTTTTATTAATAATACAACAATTTTTCAAATTGACGGAGAATTAGTGGGCCAGTGTAACTGGCCATTATAGCACGTGTAACTGAGCTCGCGGACCTTGCTCTGCTTCCAGCGTGTTATGGCTGGTCGGGTCGGTCAGGCCTGACCTTAGGTTCTTAGGGTTGTGACCTTAGGTTAATGTCAATTTAAAGTTGCTCATGTCACCAGGTTGGCCATAGCAGCTCATAACTCATACTACGTAGCAGTCGCTTCAGCAGGTCTTGTCAGTTCATCGGTGGCTTTCCAGGCTCGCTAGCTCAATTTGATGGGGAGCTAGTTGACTTTGATGACCTTAGTGACGTCATATATTACCTACATCTGAGCAGTGCCTAATTGAAGCAGCAGACCTTGCAAGTAGTATATAAATGCACGATTCCATCTGCTTTAGATATTTAACCCTCGTCCCGTGGGGGGGGGCGCCAATTTGACCTCCTGTGGTTTTTCCTGATAAACAAGAAAACGGCAGCGCGCAGCGCCGCCAAATTTTCAGTACCTTCCCGGGCATCAATTTGACACCTTCACGCAAAATTTCAAGTCTTAGGTCACTTTAGGTCAAGAGTTATTGAGGTCAAACTGAGGTCATGTTCGAGCAAAAATGAGCAAAAAAACATGACATCTTGAAACAAAATCTACAGTTACCAAGCAATTTCAAATTTCTTTATATGGTCATGTAGACAAAAGGCGGCGCTACAAAATGGCCATCTCGGATTTTCAAAATTTTGGGTTTTTGACCCTCAAAAATTCAAAAAATTGATTTTTTAGAAAAACGCTAAAAAACAAAATTTTCCGAATAACGAAAAAGCCGTATTATATGTGATAGTCCCTGCACTCTTCTATATACATACAAAATTTCAGATCGATAGGTACCTCCTTTTTTGGCCAAGTTATAGCGAAAAAACTTCAAAATTGATGACGTCAAATTTTTTATCTCAAATTTTAGCAATTCTAGACCACGTAGCGCAAAACAAAGACCTCTATTGAACTCCCCGTGACGAGCTGCATCGAATAGATACCCATTTTATGCAAAAATATCAACTTTGAAATTTGACCTAATTTGACCTGACCTTGACCTGACCTTGACGTGACCTTCACCAGAACATAATCTAAACTGACCCCAAAGGCTGCCTGACCCACATAATCTTATTTGGCATGTAAAATGGACCATAAAACATGCATCACATGATATTTTCATATTGTGACCCTCAGTGACCTGACCTCTGTGACCTGACCTGGTATCAGTGACCTCAAATAGCAAAATATGTGTTTGACGAGCATGATTTCCCCATCGATGATTTTCAATGAAATGCATTTTACTCGATTTTGCAACGCATTTCTTGAAATGCCTGTAAATGGTGAAAATTCGACCTTTGACCTGACTTGTGACGTCATCGGTTTGACCTAGGTCAATGAAATTGGGTCACAAGGTAGTTCCCTGATGGGGCTATCCAGCACCGTTTGCCGCTTGTCGCTATGTTGCGTGGTTCTCTTAGGGGGGGGGGGGGGGGGGCAAATTGCCTCCCCCCCCCCCCCAACAGGGCGCGTTGCTCGGCAGACCCCAACGGGGCGCGGGTTAACATCATTGCCATTTCCCGGTACTAAAACAGCAGTGAACATGATGTTAACCCGTGCCCCGCGGTTAACATCATGTTCAGCCATACGTGCCCTGCTGGGGGGGGGGGGCAGATTCTGCCCCCCCCCCTGTCTAACTTCCGAACTGATGGTCGTAGAAAGACGGGGAAAACGGCAATCAAAAGCTCTCAACAGAGCGGCTCTTAAGAGCCAATTTTTTTTGCTTAAGTAGGTCAGAGGTCAGGTCAAGGTCAGGTCAGGGGTACAAAATGCAAGTTTCTTCAGAATCGGCCTTGCACCGTAGTTGCCAAAGAATGAACTGAGACTGATTGCCCAAAGCGTGTTCTTAGGCTACCAATAGGCTACAATATCATGCAAAGGTCAAGGTCAAGGTCAGGTCAGGTCACCAGAAACAAAATATAGAAAAGGGCATGTGCGACACATGTTTTATGGGTCATTTTATTCATAGAATTCAATAGGCACACTCAATAAGTGATATGGACCACATCTGGATGAATTTCAGGTCGAGGTCAGGTCAAGGTCAGGTCAAGTGAGGTCAAATTTTGAAGTTGGTTGTTAAGACTTAAAAGGAGTTTATCTGATGCAGTTTTTCACGGCAAATCGAATGGTGCTATTTTTCTTTCCGTACGAAGTCTAGAACTTCCAAAAAATCATTTTTGAAACGATTCTTCTAAAAATTGGTTTTAGGAGCACATAGACCACTTCTCTGACATATATTCCGTTTTTTTTCGATACACTCAAAATTTTGGATTGTACAGTTATTTTCCCAAAAAAGTCAGTTTTTTTAGAAACAATTTGGGCCCAAATCCAAAATTTTCAAAAAACGAAGATAGGCATTTGATAGACAAAGTAGAATCACATATAACCTTTTTTGTAACGTCTTGATTCCTTTAAAAATGAAGATTTTAGCGGCGTTTAAAGTTTTGCTGTTTTTGAGGCGAAAATGGCGTGACATGACGTCACTCATACCAGGGCTGCGGAGTCGATGGATTTTCGGCGACTCCGACTCCGACTCCGGCTTTCAAAAACCAGCTCCGACTCCGACTCCGACTCCGGGCAGAATTGTCGACTCCGACCGACTCCAACTCCCGACTCCGACTCCGCAGACCCAGCAAGGCTGCGGAGTCGACAGATTTTCGGTGAGTCCGCCGACTCCGACTCCGGTCACAACTGTCGACTCCGACCGACTCCGACTCCGACTCCGCAGTCCTGACTCATACGTCATTTTCTCAAAAATTTTCCGGCGGGTTTCGCTCAAATTTTTAGGGAAAGTGTTCAATTGATGTATGATAAGGTACTGAAAGTTTAACGTTGCTGGCGTAACGCGTTTAGAAGTTATTGGCGAAAAACGGAGGGGGGGGGGGCAGATTCCGCCCCCCTAGCGGGGCGCGGGTTGATATTATTAACCGCATTGACTTACAATGATGTAGTCACGTGACCGGCCTGACCTAGGTGATCTTGATGAAAAATCTCAAGGGGAGACCCGGAAGGTATGGGCCCCTGGGAGGTATGGGCCATCGCAGTTTTGAAGAAGTGTTGAGCATTTTTTTTTTAAATAAAACATTTGATCGCGTAAACTGGTAGCAGCCATTCCGTTATACAGCCCACGTGATTTCCAAAATCTTCCTCAGTCTTCTTTGGCAATGAGCGGTGATAAAGCGTTTTTGCCCTCTTCGAGTAAAATACGGTACTTACAGAAAATTCGTGATAAATTTGAACCGGGCTCGTTTTATGTCAGACCATCGCTAACATAAAGTTTAAAGCATGCAAATTAAGACTGAATAGACAATTTAAAGCTTTCTTGCAAGATTATGAGCTGAGATGCTACGCACATTCTGGCGTCCTAACCGGGAGGTTCGGGCCACTCGCCCCCGGTGATCCTAAATCAATAAAATGATGCTTTCATTTAATGTCCTCTTCAATCAGTTTTATTTTTGTCGTGCAAGGTCGAAAATGTAACTACAAATTCCATTCGAACAGAAAAATATTATTTATCTTATTTCATGGAGCATGATGAGTTTACCAAAATACATATGTGCCCAAGTGACCTCCATGAAGTAAGATGTTGGCCGCCTATGCGGTTCCTGGGCTCTAAGAGAGATCAAGGTAGATACCAGCTACGAGTATTGTTCTGATTGTCGAGAAATGAATATGAAACATGGCACCGGCCCATGCCTCCCGGGCCATGGCCCATACCTCCCGGTGTATTTTGATGGATCGAAAAAGCGCATGATTTATTGAAAGTTATCTCGAGACAAAATAGTTGATCCCAGATGCCTAATATCAGGCACGCTTTGCAGGCGAAAGACAATTTCACGCACACATAGTGAAAAACCAGGTCTAGCCACTGCTCACTGGAAGAAAATTGTCTTTTCACAAAACCGGCCCATACCTCCCGGATCTCCCCTACGAGTTGTGGGTGATTGGGGAAGTTGCTACGTCTACAGGGTGTCCCAGAATTACCCGAACATTTATTTTCTGACTAAAAGTACAATTGCGCTCGATTCTAATGATATACAAGCATCATACTTTTATAAGATATCCCTTAGCTATCGAGCTTGGGGACTGTGTGCTTTTGGTGACCGGTCATGGCTCGAGTCAATTGTTACCCAGAGTCAAGTAAGATTAGTCCTTTTCCGTTTTCAGCTTAAGCCACTAACAGGCAACCGTGGTGAATCAACTCCCGTTCTCTACTTTGTAAACGAACTTTCGGCATGGTTTTTGCTGGAGAGCTTCAGTAGCTCATCTGCAAGCAGTAAGGATTGAGCAAAGCGCAATTATATCAGCTAACGAAGCCAGAGAGAGCAAGAGGTAAACCTAATTGACAAGCTTGGGCTCGGCCAAAAAGGGCCATGCACCAGCTGTCAAACGGGTGGTTGCTTGTCATGGACAACAAACGTCACCGATCTAACTAAAAACTGGCATAACGATATATCAGTATTATCTACAAAATATCAGTCTACTTCGCACCACTATCTTTGACAAAATTTTGGAATTTGGGGTCCTTCGCCTGAAAAATATGCGAAAACTTTGGGGTCCTTCGCCTGAAAAATATGCGAAAACTACGAGAAAAGTAGCGCAAATCACTACAATTCATCCCAAAAACATAACTTATACAACAAAAAAGGATATTGAAGCACACTTTGTGGTCTAACGAAGGTATTCTGTCATTTGAACCGCCCGAAAAAGGCGTGTGTGAACTTCAAATGGCTGCAACGCCCCAACAGCGGAGAAGACCAAGCACCCGTCGAAAATCAAATTGTGAGACATTTTGAGCTACTCATTCGGCTTGATATGATGGCCCAAAGACAACCGTTAGCACAGAGTACTACTGTGGTAATATTCTAGCATTACAAAAACTGGATGCCGCGAACCAAATGGCCATGAACGGGTTTGTTTTGGAAACCAAATCTGTTGGAAGTCAAAGGTCGCGCCATGTTCAGGCATGGAGCTTCTCCACTTCAGATGTAAAAAACGCGGCGAAAGTGGTGTAGGCACAAATTTTTGTTTTGGGGGATAATGCCTTATGGCCTGGGAACACTTTGACGTTAAGTTTATCTTATATGATCGTATTATCATCCGGCAAGAGGTCAAAGAAAACAGGCCTACAATCAGTTTCGAGAGACCCGTAAAACAACTGAGACGGCAGCAGTGGCTGCCATTTTCCATCATTGTCGGCTAATCTTGTAACTAGCGTATCTATTGCATGTGCTATTTCATAGCCACTCTAGTTGACTATATAGGACGATAAAAAGAAAAAAGCGCAATCATGTCTGCCTTATTTTATACGCTAATTAACAATGTTCGGGTAATTCTGGGACACCCTGTAATAAGTTTCATCGCCCTGCGAAATAGCCCCTGGCGGCTGGCGCTGAGTGAGGCCTGAGGGCGTTGCAAAGCTGCGACATTTAGGATCGTGCAAAGATTCTTTTTGCGTTATAGGTCAGTGACCTGACCTGACCTAAAATGTGATTGGTGTTTCAAGATCCAGCTTGCATATAAGGTTAGTAATGCCAGTTATCAGCCCACTCCCTTTTTAACGTGTTCTGAGCAACCACGATAAATTAAAAGTTAATTCGACCAGAAAGAGCTAAATCATGAACTCAACTACAGTTACATATAATTATCATACACATGTATACATGTGTATGATAATGTTTGTTGCATATGTGCGACAACACGTTTTTACCCTTTAGTGGCACGTTTTCCCTTGTTTTGGCTTACTTTAGGTTCATAAGACAGCTTCAGATCGTTCAGATTAATTGATCGTAATGTTTCTGTGCCTGGTTCATTCTGCACGTTGTCATCTCTCACACATCCAGACACGACCTGATGCTACCTGTGGTATAGGTGTATAATATATTTTGACGATTCAGTGTCAAGATTTGAATAAAACAAAGGAGAATCTTCAAATTGTCTCGTAAAAACGACATTAAATTTGCTGTAAGACTAGCAGCCTTTATTATGGATGTAAAATTGTTTAACTGTCATGCAGTTGTGTCACAAATCTGCGCAGGTGTTGTTTCCAGCGAGAGATTCTGCTATTTTTCTTTATTGATGCATTGTGGTGGACCTTAAACCTGTCTTTACGGTATGTAGTGTTCTGAGAGTGGACCGGGCTATGATAGCTGTCTAGTCGTTCAGGCGCTCTACCTAGCTTAATGCCACATTGCTACCCTGATTGGTATCTACAGCAATGGATGATGTGTTGAGTGGCGTGATGTCTGTGTTCTATTGTTTTCTGAATGTATGTACCCTGTGTGGTGTGGTGCGGGCGGGTCCAGCCCCAGCTGACGCTGTTCGTCCCTGTGTTTCAGCCGGCGAGTGTCGCCCAGTCGCCGAGCCTCCAGACCGCCGCCATGCCCAAGTACTTCTGTGACTACTGCGACACCTACCTGACGCACGACTCGCCGTCTGTGCGCAAAACCCACTGCTCGGGCCGCAAACACAAGGAGAACGTCAAAATCTACTACCAGAAGTGGATGGAGGAGCAGGCCCAGTCGCTGATCGACGCCACCACGGCCGCCTTCAAGGCCGGCAAGATCCAGAACAACCCGTTCGCGGCCGGCAAGGGCCCGGTGGCGGGCCGCGAGGGCGGTGCTGCCATCCCGCCGCCGGCCAACATGGGCGGCGCGCCGGTGCGGCCGCCGCTCGGGCCCGGCCAGCCGGCCATGGGACCGCGCGGGCCCCTGATGGGGCCCTACATGGGCCCGCCCATGATGGGCCCCGGCATGCCGATGGGCGGGCCGCACATGATGGGCCCCGGCGGGATGCGGCCGCCCATGGGCCCGATGGGCGGGCCGATGATGATCATGGGCGGACGGCCGCCCATGATGATGGGAGGCCCGGGCATGCAGAACTAGTGTGGGCGGGGGGCGGCGACGGCCCCTGGTCCGCGCTGAGACTGTCTGGCTGGGCCCGGGCAGCGACCGGCTGACCGGCCGCCGCTGTCCGGAGTCGGTGGACGCTGCGGTGGACGCTACGGTGGACGGTGGACGCTGCGGTGGAACTCACTATGTGACGTTCTGTGGATGTCTTAACGACCAGCCGAGTGGACTGTCGGCGCGTGGTTGTCATGTCATTGTCATTGCTGGTGTACCATTCCGCTCACTATCGTTTAACTAAGCGAGTTATAGCACCAGGTAACTTTGCCTCGTCATTTTACACCCATGGACGTGCGTATTCTCTGGTAAAATTTGCCCTCTTGAAGATTTTTTCCCCGATTCATTTGAGTCGTTCCTTTTCTCTCCAGTCCAGGTAATGTCTTCAAACGTTTTCTCGTACTCAGTGTTTTTAATTCTTTCTGTCCAGACCATTCATTGCGTAAATATACCAACCAAAGCCTGTTCTGAGCTGGTTTGAACGCGCCGGTTGCAGGGACTGGCTGATTATTCGGAGCTCGGTCCCCGGCTCTCGGCCCTCCCTCTGCCGAGCCGGGCGGTCGGGGATCGCGGAGGGACGGAGTACACTGGACGGTCCGATACGTGTGGGGAGGGCGGGGATATCGGGGAGCCGGGCCAAAGAGCTGCCCCTCAGTGCTGACAAATCTCACCGGGTCACAGCACAGGCCGTGGGTCGAATACCGGGGACAGCACGGTGTGGGCTGATCAATGCAGAGTTACCGGGGCTCTGCATGGTGTCAGTGGTTGGCTAGGGCCGGGCGGCTGCACTGTAAACTCCGCTCCAGAATCGCTGCCTAGCACTTCGTCATTCGATTACGAGTTCCAAAAGCACACGGATCATTCATACACGAGAACCTGGCCTGCTTACTATGATTTCAGACGAGCGTGAAATACGTTCAACGCGTTTAGTCAAAGGCCGGGAATGTAAGAATTATATACTTCCAATATGTATTTATATTAATATACTTTCGATAACCTGTTTGCCTTATATGAGAGGTGGCTTGCGCCGAAGATGCTGGTTACGGACAATCAGCAGATATGAACCGAGGTCCCTCAATAAATTTCTCATTATTTTCCTCGCCGTGCCGCAGAGGGAATCTCTCGGAAGCACTGTTTTGTTTTGCAGTTGACTGCATTATCGATGAACGGAGGAATAACCGAAATAATTTAAAAGGGCCATAGTTCATAGAAAAGGGGAGCTGCAAACGGCCTGTGGGTGGGGATACAGTCGCCTGTTTGATCACGGAATTGCACGACTGGTTGAGAGCCAGCACCTGATACCGGTGGCAGGCGGCCTCTAAGGACACTGTAGCCCCACCGCTTCAGTCACAACTACATACTGCAGTCCAGCACATAGAAATATTCGCAGCACTTTACGTTAAATCGTACCGCCTCTCTCTCTCTCTCTCTCTCTCTCTCTCTCTCTCTCTCTCTCTCTCTCTCGCTCTCGCTCTCGCTCTCGCTCTCGCTCTCTCTCTCTCTCGCTCTCGCTCTCGCTCTCGCTCTCTCTCTCTCTCTCTCTCTCTCTCTCTCTCTCTCTCTCTCTCTCTCTCTCTCTCTCTCTCTCTCTCTCTCTCACTCCCTCCCCCTGTGTTGTCAGGATGTGGTGTCACCGGGCGATGGTGCGCGCTCTGCGACCCGTTTGTCGACGCTCCTCCAGTACGGCGGGCCCGGCGACTCCCGTCGAGCCGCCGCCACCCCCGGCCGAGCTGCCACCGCCCCCAGCCGAGCTGCCGCCGCGGCCACACGTGCCTGTGATGCCGGCTGAGGTGTGCTCCCTGCTGGCTATCCGACCCGGAGACACCGTCATTGACATGACGTTCGGCGCAGGAGGTGAGGACGCATGGCGATGACGTGAGTGATGATGTGGTGCGTTCCAATGGGTACGGCTGATGAGCTGTAGGTCACTGAAAGGGCAGCCGGCGAGCGTTGGTTTTTAGTTGTGCGTGCGATAGGTGCTTCACACGCGTAGGTGTTATGTTTATGCAGTTCACAAGTCACAAGTCCACAGGCCGCATTACCTAGTGCTTAGCTCCTGGAGTTCTGACCTGAGGGTGGGGCAGGTCATACGGACTGGCTGCTGGAGTCCTTCCCCGCCGACCTGACATGCCCTGCCCTCAGGTCATGCTACGCGACTGCTCGAGTCAGTGCCTGTCTAACACGAGTCTTGGCCTGACCCCAGGTCAAACTGCCTGGCTGCTGGAGTCCGCCCCGCTCTGACCTGACCTGCCCTGCCCTCAGGTCACACGGAGCGTCTGCTGGAGACAGTCCCTGATCTGACCTGACCTGACCTGCCCTGCCCTCAGGTCACACGGAGCGTCTGCTGGAGACAGTCCCCGGTCTGACCTGACCTGATCTCAGTGTACCATTTTTCAGACTTTTTGGTGGCAACTCACACCTAATGGGGAAAATATTTTCATCCCTAAAATATGAATGACTGACTTTACTTCATCTCTGAAAAAGGTTTCATGTATTCGAACAGCCAGTTTACATGTCACTTGACAGTTGATGGACCCACATCCTTTTGTTTCACACCCTGTCAAGATCCTGACATGAAATCCTGGTTTATCAGTTGACATAAAAATTAGCATTACCTACAACATTTTTCAAAAATAGTTCAGTTATTTACTTTCTTTTTTCTCATTCCAGGGTTTTTTTTTCATCAGCACACCCAACCAAAATCCAATTTTAGAACACTGCCTGATCTGGCCTGTCCTGTCCTCAGGTCACACGGAGTGGCTACCCCAGTTCGACTCGCGCTGACCTGACTCAGGTCACACGGAGCGTCTGCTGAGTCCGTCCCCGGCGTGACCTGATCTGACCTGCCCTGCCCTCAGGTCACACGGAGCGTCTGCTCGAGTCCGTCCCCAGTCTGACCTGACCTGCCCTGCCCTGCCCTCAGGTCACACGGAGCGTCTGCTGGAGTCCCCCCGCTCTGACCTGAGTCCTTGCCCTGCCCTCAGGGTGTCTGACAGTCCCCGGTGTGACCTGCCCTGCCCCACCCTCAGGTCACACGGAGCGTCTGCTGGAGACAGTCCCCGGTCTGACCTGACCTGATCTGACCTGATTTCCCCGGCGTGACCTGCCCTGCCCTGCCCTCAGGTCACACGGAGCGTCTGCTGGAGACAGTCCCCGGTCTGACGGTGTACGCGCTGGACCGCGACCCCTCGGCGTTCGCGCGCGCCCGCCGTCTGTCGGCCGAGTGGCGCGGCTCAGGCCGGGTGGTACCGCTGCTGGGCAGGTTCAGCGAGCTGCCCCGCCTCCTCACAGAAGGTCAGTGGCCGGCAGCTGCAGCTGGCTAGCTGGGCAGCTGCAGTCGGGTAGCTGGGCAGCTGGTCCGGTGGCAAGGTTGTATCGACGGCCAGCCAGCAGTAGTTTTGGGTCTGATGTAGGAGCTGCGCGATCAGCAGACAGTTTTGGGTATGCCGTTTGGCTGAGGGTACCTGAGGAGATGGCCGTTTGGGCTATGGTAGTCTGTAATTCTGTATGTCTTAGCCTGTATGTGCTCAGTGTGTCCTGCACACCTGTTCGTGCCCTGTGTGCCTTATACACGTGTACTGGCCTGTGCCGACAGCCGGCGTTCGGCCCGGCTCGGTGTCGGCCGCCGTGCTCGACTGCGGCTGCTGCAGCACTCAGCTGGAGGACGCCGGCCGCGGCTTCTCCCTGGCGCGAGACGGGCCGCTCGACATGCGTATGGACGGCCAGCGGGGCACCGACGCGCCCACGGCCGCCCAGCTGCTGGCACACGCCTCCGAGGCCTCCCTGGCGCGCATTATCCGCGCCTACGGCGAGGAGCCCATGGCCAGGAAGATCGCGCGCGCCATCGTGGAGGCGCGCTACATGCTGCGGCCGCTGCGCACCACCGGCGAGCTGGCGCAGCTGGTGCGCGCCGTCTGCCAGCGCGAGCGGCGCGACAAGCTCGGCCGGCCGGCGCACGCCGCCACGCGCACCTTCCAGGCGCTGCGCATCTTCGTCAACGACGAGCTGAACCAGCTGCACGCCGGCGTTGCGGCGGCGCACGGGGCACTGCGGCCGGCCGGTCGGCTGGCCGCCCTCTCCTTCCACTCGCTCGAGGACCGGGTGCTGAAGGAGGCGCTGCTGGCGAGCCCGCTGAGCGAGGAGGCCGGCCGGCGCCACCGGACCGGCCGGCACGGCGCCGCCCTCTGCGCCCCGGACCCGGCCCTTCTGCCGCCGGCCCAGCTCAAACGCTGGCGGCCCGTCAACCGGCGCGTGCTGGTGCCCAGTGAGCAGGAGGTGGCGCACAACCCGCGCAGCCGCTCCGCCAAACTGCGAGTGGCGGAGAAGTGCTGTGGAGAGGAGGAGCTCTGAGACCGCAGGTATGTGCCCACGGCCGGCCGGCCGGTGTCGGCAGACAACCCGGTGGCCGGTGTTATGGTTTGCTCTGTTGATGCTTGATCAGTGTAATAAATTGGATTCAGTTGCTCACACAGCTTCTTCTTGCTCAGCCTGAATGATCTCTTAGTTTTCGCTCTAGCATCGCAACATTTGTAATCGAGTGTCTTGAAAGGTTCACGGTTGCTTTCGAAAGTCAGTTTACGCCCAATCAGTCTGTTGCACGTTTTCATCTCTAAGAAGGGAATTGAATTCGCACGATATAATTCAGATTCGAATGTTAACAAACCCGCTGAATTGAGCACGTTCCACAATGCATTCAGACTCTGTTGCGAATGGCGACCGTGATCGCTATTCACAGGGCGCCGTTACGTCAGTAGCTAATGATGTAGCGTCCGTCTCTGCCACTGAAGACGCCACTTTCCATCGCAGACCAGGTAAATGAAGCCGATCCAACTCTGTTGCCGCAATAACGGGCATCTCGCTAGCTATCAGTGCAGAAATGTTCACACGTGTTTAGAAAATAACGTTTATGTCGTCACAATGAAACATAAAAACGGTGATCAATAGGTCAAACAAACACAAACACACACTGAAGCACACGCACAAGCATACGGAATCGTCAACCAGTCACGAACACTGTAGAACTGGTATCAACAGTCGACACGGAACATTGACCAGTGATGTGATATCCCACCCGCTCTTCGTAGACAGTAACCTGCTCAAATAGATTACAGCCTATTGAGCTCCGGGCTCAACTCACTGTATCGTTGATTGTGAATCAAACACTCCTGGCCAGCCCTACGTCTAGCATTCCTACCCACATTTGTGACGAAACGAACAACGTGCACGGGTGTCAAATGGAATGAATTCAACGGTAAATAGCTTTGTGACCTCCTCCCTACCCCGGCCCCAGCCGCACTACATCACATTACCACAGTCCCATGGTGCACCAGACTGGCGCAATCACCTCCAAGTCAGACACATCACAGGAGTTCCGCGGCATGCGGTTGCCGCTGACTTTGTACCCAGCAGGGGATGACGCTGTTCTGAGCCAGACACATCACTGAGGCTGTCATGGACCAATAATAGTCTTTTCCGCCGCATTGGGTAATACGACTTACCAGGACACGTTTCGGCGGTCTCTGCGCCGTCACACAGTCTGTATGATCACAGTCTGTCCACCGCCCGCAGCGGAGACTGACAGTCGGGGGTGTACGGAGCGCAGACTCAGACTGCTGCCGTCTACATCGCAGTACGGTGTCCCGTCCTGCAGATGGAGCTGGTGTATGCATGAACACAGCGCGTCCCAGCTTTGTGGGTCAGAGCACACCCGGACGGCGAGTCCACGCCCGCTCACGGCACACATTAACTAGGAGCTATCCCAGCTGCTCTTGGAATCTAATGCACACTTTCAGTGTTCACCCGTTGATTGAATCGATCATCGGTCGATACATTTGGTCTTTGGAATGATATCATTAATTACAAGTCATTAATATTATTCTGCGTGCATTTTGCGTTGATCCGTCCGAGGTGAACAGCGCTCGGAAATGTCAGCTGCTCGTAAGGCCCCCAGCTGCTCTCCAGGTACTCTAGTCATCCTCCAGGTACTCCAGCCATCCTCCAGGTACTACGGAGCTGCCCTCTAGGTACTACGGCTGTCCTACAGGTACTCTAGCCGCTCTGCATCCACTTCAGCTGCCCTCCAGGCACTCAAGCAGTCAAGCAGCATCGATAATTGCTCTCACGATTCTGACTGGCGGGATCAAAAGCCCGAATCGACTGACACTGTCGATCGCCTGGACAGCTTTCTCTCGAAGAGCAGCTCTAGCTGACCAGCTACCTCGGGTGTCGCTTACCACTTCGGGTGTCATTTCAGCCTCCTCCGGACATGCCGACGGCCTAGCTAGAGGTGCACGCTCAGCCTGGACCGAGAAGGCGTCCTGGGCTAGATCGCCTCTCAGTCGGTTGTCGGACTGAGTCAGTCCGTTCTCTAACTGGGCCAGCACTCAGCCGTTGGCCGGACTGGGTCCCATATCACCACCCATGCCGCTCCGGACTTCCGCTAGGTAACCCCTTCTCTCAAGCTTCCGCTCGGCGCTGCTGCTGCGCCCACCCCCAGCAGCCACCCACGCGTGCACAACTGCACAGTCCGCCCCTGTGTCCGCGCCGCCTCAGACGGCCGTGTCCAGTGTCTGGATGCGCACCTTTTTGCTGCGGCCGGCCGGCGGCGTGGCCGGCGCCGGGTTACCGATGATCACCACGCCCGAGTCGATCGAGTCGTCCGAGCTCTCGCGCGCCTCGGCCCGCTTCTTCTTGAGGCTGGAGCGGAGCGGCGAGCGGCGCGGGTCGTACGGCACCGTGCCGCCGCTGCTGGTGACGGTGGTGGTGACGGCCGGCTGCTGCTGCCCGCTCACCGGCGCCGTCACCGTCACCGTCCGGCCGGCCGCTTGTGGCGACACGGGACGCTTGTGACGCGCCGCCCGGTTGGCGATGACCGGGGCCAGGGAGCCGCTCGGGTCGCGCGCGAACTTGACCGGATCACCGCCGAGCCGGCGGCCGAGCACGAATTCACCGGCCGAGAACACGCAGAGGGCCACGAACAGGGCGAAAAACGCCCCCTGCCGAGCACACAGAACACAGCGGTGTCACACAGAACACAGCGGTGACGGAGCGAACAAAGTGAGGTCAGAGAGAACAGAACAGACCACCGTGGGGTCCGACAGAATACCGTGGGGTCCGACAGGACACCGTGAGGCCGGACAGAACACAGCAGTATCAATCACAATTCACATAGTGATGCTAGACGGAACACATTAGGGTCAGAGGAAGCACAGCGGGGTCAGAGAGAACACAGTGAGGGTCAGGGGGAACCCAGCCGCGTAGCTGGAACACAGCGGCGTCAGACTAGGCGGAAGGCAAAGCCATTAAGGAACAATCGGACTGCACCATTTAGCGCCAATGGACGATGGAAGTTCCGTATTACTGGCTAGAGTAATGTGTGCTCTACAAGGCAAACGTATTCATCATTAATTATCGTCTTGACATGCTAATCTAGTGACAATAGTGCCGTTAATTGAATGTACTAGCGGTGAGCTCATGTGTGCACAATAAATATGCTCATCAATTTATTCATATACACATACAAGCACCATCAAAAGACTAATCAATCAAACTGTGCCGCAGGAGACGTATACGGGTCGCTGAGCTAAAAATGCCCACAGCACCACGCAGCGGCATGACAGCGGCTGTGAGAGCCAAGTACTTCGGTTCGACAGTCTCACCAGCAGGTAGAACGACCACGCCTTGTGGATGTAGTAGCCGGTCTCCTCTCCCAGTCGGCGCGCGTCGATGTCGATACTGAACAGAATCAACGCCAGCATACAGCTGGTGGCTGAAACAGACGCCATAGCGTTAGGTGACAGTGAGGGAAACATACATACAGCTGGTGGCTGAAACAGACGCCATAGCGTTAGGTGACTGTGAGAGACGGGACGGATACAGCGGCGTTGGACGTCGTGGACACGGGCGTTCTTGTCCATATGGGTGATTCGAACATATCACATCCCTAACAAGCATACGTTCACCACACATCACTTCCCTTTTCTGAGCAGTAGCCATTACTTTTCAAAGGTATGATGCTAAATCAAGAAGATTACTATCTAACATTTAAGCCAGTTCCTCCCTGAAGCGTCGCGGCTCGAACCAGAGCCGTCCGGGACCTACCTCCGAGCGCGCTGATGACCAGTTTGACGAGCAGCGCCGTGCGGAACTTGAAGACCACCTGTCGGCGCGTGACGCGCATGGCCAGCACCATGGGCGACGTGACGCAGAGCAGCACGGCCACCAGCACAGCCACCACGCCGCACACGCCCGCCGCCGTCGTGAACTCTGTGAGACGGGACGTCAGAGAGACGTCAGAGAGACGTCAGAGAGACACCAGCACGCCGCACACGCCCGCCGCCGTCGTGAACTCTGTGTAGAGACGCAGACGGGGGTCAGCGGGGAGTCATGCCAACGGTCACCCGCGCGTCCATCTCGGCTCCAGAGTGAGTCGCATGATTGAAAGAGATTCACTACTAGAAGTTGATATGGAAAAATAGACATTCAAAGTTACGCCCATGTTGATAAACAATAGGTACTGAAAAGAAAACGTTTCATTTTTAGCTTCAGTTATTCGGAACAAACCGAAGCTACATCAAACGAAAGGGATATAATATCCATTATCTGTATAATATCCCGGATATTTGTGGAATAAGTCTGGCTGGAGTCTCGAGCCCCAGGCATTCATTCAGTCTCCATCCGAATGTCTCCCCACTCCCCAGCCTTCCCGAAGCCGCTTCCCGTGTGCACCGTCTGTTGCGAACACAGGGCACATTCCGTGCTAATGAGATGGCTACGCCACGGCGGCGGCGACAGCACCTCTCCGGCGCCAGACTAGCGGTGACATTATTGCCACCTCGGCGCGGCTGCTATAGGGTCGGAGTCGTCCCGGTGACGCCATAGCCGGCGACGGACGGGGCCGTCGGGGCGGCGGCGCCCGGCGGCCCTCCCGTTACGGCACACAGAGAGTGCCAATTAGGCATACCTGCTGCCGGCAGCGGCGCCCGGACACTGTGTGTCAAAAGCCACTGCTGCCGTGGACCCCTGGGCTGGGCTAGCAAAAATCGCTCTGGGACAGCGATATGGTTAACCCGCGCCCCGTAGGGCTATCGGCGGACCCTCCCACCCGTAGGGGGGGGGGGGGCGTTTCGGCCCCCCTAAGATCTCGGAAATTTACCGGCCGATTTTCAAAATTCAAACGGCGTTCGATAGCCCCACCCAGGAACTACCTTGTGACCAAATTTCATTGACCTAGGTCAAACCGATGACGTCACAGGTCAGGTCAAAGGTCAGATTTTCACCGTTCACAGGCATTTCAAGAAATGTGTTGTGAAATCGAGTAAATTGGTAATTTATTGAAAACCATCGATGGTACATTGTTCGTCAAACACATGCTTTGCTATCTGAGGTAACTGATACCAGGTCAGGTCACAGCGAGGTCAGGTCACCGTGGGTCACAATATGAAAGCGTCGTGTGATGCATGTTTTATGGTCCATTTTACATGACAAATGCGATTATGTGGGTTAGACAGCCTTTGGGGCCAGCCTAGGTCACGTTTTGGTGAAGGTCAGGTCAAGGTCAGGTCAAATTAGGTCAAATTTTAAAATTGATATTTTTGCATAAAATGGGTATTGATTCGATGCAACTCGTCACGGGGAGTCTAATGGTGGTCTTTGTTTTGCTCTACGAGGTCTAGAATTGCCAAAAATTGGGTTTGAAAATTTGACGTCATCATTTTTGAACAGTTTTTTTCGCTATAACTTGGCCAAAAAACGAGGTATCGGTCTGAAATGCGGTATGTAGATAGAAGACGGTAAGTACTATTACATATATTCCGTTTTTCGAAACTCAAAAAACTTTTTGGATTTTTTGGCTAATATATAAAAAAGGCTTTTTTGGTTTTTGGGAGGCAAAACTCAAAAATTTTAAAAATCCGAGATGACAGTTGTGTAGCCCTGTCAATTCTACACCTTTTATGTCTTGATCATTTTTCTGTATCTTCAAAGCTGTAGGCCTGACTGGTCTTCTCGCGAATGTCTTTTTTCGGTCGAAAATTACAGAACATGACGTCATTCTGACGTCATTTGTGACCAACCTATCATAGCCTCTGGAAAAATTTCGGTCACAATGTGTAAAATGGATGCCCGGAGGGGTCCTGAAAGTTTGGTGGCGATATCTCCAGCCGTTTAGGAGATATCGACCGAAAAGGACAGGGGGGCCGTTTCGGCCCCCCTACGGGGCGCGGGTTTTAATTAACAAACATCGCTCTGGGACGTCCTCTGGGTTCATAAACATTGTTCCGAGTTAGCCCCCGGGTTAACAAACATCGCTTCGGTTCACATGGTACCGGTGTCGGCAATGTGCTAATATATCGGCAAGTGTTGCCACTTGCCAATAAAAAACGTGAAACGCGTTATCAGCGTCATTGGCCTCCCTTTATAAAGTATGAGTTCAAATACTTTGGGGATAATGTCGAGTTTTGACCCTGCGTTTGATGATAACTCTCGCTGAGTCACAACGCTCAACTCCATAAAATAAACTTACGGCAAAGCCCAAGAAAGCCTTTTTATTCATAGATACGTAAATCAAAGTTGCCTGAGCTGCTGAAAGCCGAGCAGTTGCACCTTCGGCCCACTTCCGACCGTTCAATAATGATCCGGTTTGAAATATCGGCCAATGCTGGCCGACCGGCCGCACCATCCATCCTGTGCCATGTTTCCGCTGTTTTTTAGGGTGGCCGATGGCAGTTATTCACCGACCGTGCCGCGCCGGGTCCTGGGAAAGAAGCGGTCGTCGTCTTCGGTCGGGTGAGGCTCTCCGGGCCGGTACCAATACTCTACAGCCGAGAGCTGTCCCACCTGCCACACTGCACAATGGACGGCCTGTCGAAGGCAACCGGGCCGATACTATCTACAGCGCAACGGGCAACGGCGCGGCCCATGTGAGAGCGAGAAGGGCAGATGGTAAATCTCGGACGGCGGAAATATTGTCTGGCTTGTTTGTTTACGAAATCCACCAGCCGAGGAGTCACTGTTTGCTGTGTCAGAGCGCCGGTGTGAGTGACATATTGTGGCTTGTTTGCGGAGTAGCTGGGTTTCTATTCTCAAACAGTACCGGACGATGAGGTTTACCTACTGTCTGCGTGTAATTGCATCCACAGTCGGGGTCAAGAGAGAGGGCGGGGACGTTTAAATCAGTATGAAACAAACGGCTGGAGTGGGTACCCGTCAGACATGTGCTTGGATCCGGAAAAATGGATCTGAGATCCGATCCCATGGATCCCGATCCCAGATCCATTCAGATCATAGATCCAACCCCTCAATTTTGTCGAGAGATCTACTGGGATCATAGATCTGACCCTTCAATTTTGTCGCTAGATCCACTCGGATCATAGATCCGGCTCCCCAGTTTTGTCGTGAGATCCATTGGGATCATAGCTCATAGGTGCTCAAAATGTTAACAACTTTCTTTCATAAGAAGTTATGAATACCAAAGTATGGTTAGAAACAATCTTATATGTACAAAGGCCTTATTAGTAAAGGCATCCAGTTACATTATACAGAATACAAAATAAAGGAGGCTCATGACGGTCACAACTTGAGAGAATTGAGTGACATGAAGATTGTTACCAACAGAAAAGTTTGCATTAAAGAAAGACTGCCACCTTCAAAAAGTTTTCTCAGATCGGCCTATGATTTATTCCCTGGACAAAACAAAATTTTAGAATTCACCTGACAAAGTATCATCACGTGAATCGCGAAAAAATTATCGATTATCATACAATTATCAATCGGTTAATGTCTAGCGACAATGATTACACATCACTAGACTTCAAGGTCATAAGATTATTACATTTTATTTGAAAAAGTAAGGTATTTTATGATTTACTAATATATGATTTCATAAGAAATTGGCCATGTTTAATTTATTTTGCATTTAACTTCGTAAAACATTTAAAAATCATGGCTCATTTGGAATGGGTCTGGCCCATGTTAAACCCCATTTCCCACACTTTTTTGGAAAAAATGAACTACTGAATATATAAGTTTAACTTTTATTTTGACACTCCAAAATTCTTCTCTGATCTCGAAACAATCAAAGTTTTGACATATATTTGCCAAAAGATAAGAAAATTCATGTTTCAAAGTTATCGATAAACAGTACCTAGAGATGTCGGTTTTCTTGGACTAAAAAAATTGCATCAAACTGAACTTTGGTCTCCGATTTCTCGCAAACAGGTTCGAATTTCGGAAAACCGACTTCAGTCTGGGACATAGGTGGCTCAGCTCTAGTGAAAACCGTTTTGTGAAAAAATGGTGGCAGTCTACCTACAACATAGAGGTAAGTCAAAGTAATGACTAATGAACAATACATTACTAGGTACCTACCACATCACAATTCATGTTAGAATCTACATAATGATATTGATAAGACAATCTTGCATTAGACAACCATGAGGCTTTCCAGTTTCCAGCTAACACAATTGATTGATAAACAATAAAAGATGATACTGACACATGTGGCTTGGTTGGGTAAAGATATTTCAATCTATTGAAAGAAATATTTGATAAAATAAACTGAGATATTGAATGATATTGAGGGTTTCTTTGAAAATGAGCCCCATTATGATTAAAAGATAAGCAAGTAATAGCCTTTGGCTCATTGTATAATAGACAAAAGAAATGGAAAAGAATATATGTGCGATATTTCGTGTTCGACACTTTTTCATGCACTGATGTTTAAAAAAATATTTTTGTTGACAAGCAAACACACAAAACGAGCGCAGTTGAATATCCCTCCTCTGATAAAGAAACATTGGATTACATAATAATTTCAGAAATGTCGACAAAATCATTCAAAGTCCAACAAGTACAGAGTTATAAGGGCATAAATGATACCTCATGCCCAGCACGCCCACCACAAAACACATATCCCCTAAAACATTCCCTAAACACATTGCATGAGTGAGGCAGGCCAAAATAATTTCTACACACATTGCGCGAGTGAGAGAGGCAGAAAGAAAAGTAAGGCAGGCAGGAAGGAGGCGGCGTTGGAGAACGGCGGGCACCAGACCGGTCTGCATCAGCTTCAAGTGTAAAAAAAAACGTTGGACAGGACTGCAAGAAGGTGAATAAAATGACACACAAAAAGGGTAGACAGGGTAGGCAAGACTTTTACTGGTGGGTCTGTCCTGGATGAGACGTGCTCTATCTTGTCATTGAGTTATACTGTATTTGCATGGGCGCAATCAGTTTCCAGGATGTGGCATTTTTATTTATTGATGGTT